TTTCTATTTCCCTTTTCATTCTGCAAACACTCCTTATGTAGAGGTTGTGGGGGGAGGGTAAAGTGTAGGCTAATAACTCATTTCCCAGTTAATTTTATTAAGAATTTATAGCACTGTTTAGAAAGTTTTAAGACAACCATAAATTTTATTAGGAATATTTTATTAAGCCCTCCATTTAATTAATAAAAGACCTCTATAACTTCTGAAAATGTCAGAGCTAGTAATTATGTTAACCAGTGTAATTTTTCCCCCTCTAGAGACCAAAGCGTTTTAATGATTTCAAATAGAAAGGTAGTAAGGAAAACACCCCCACCACCACCACCAATTTTTTTTCCTTAACTTTTGCATTATTCAGTCAGAATATGGTGAGTTAGGCATTTCCCCTGTGACAGTTGGAGAACTTAGGCTGACCTCTCCTTGACTTCTGAATCGGACCCAGACATTCTTTGTTTTCTGAAGGAAAATGCAGTAAACAAATCTCTGAGTTCTTATAGTGAGGATTGCTTTGGGGCTCTTGATTAACGTCTTCTCTAATCCCCTTGGTTAACTCCCTTTCATATCACCTAACCAGGTTTTCCCCTTTTATAGACCCCTAAATAGTTTATTTCACTTTTCTCACAGCCATTCATTAGCTTTGACTTCTTAGTACCTTTCTCATATCGCATCCAGGCTCTTATCTCCAGCATTCCTCTATTATCTCCACTAGATTTTAAATCTATTTTCTTTAAACTGTCTTTCCCTCCTCTTATTTCTTTTTTGAAATGCAAATGCTGATGTGGGGGTGAGATGCAGAGGATGAATGTTCTTGAAGTACAAACCCCAAGCCTCCACCACCACAGGACAACCTAAAGAGCTATCACAACATTTTACAGGCATCCTAAAGTTAGGTGGCAGATGATAAACCTTATCATTCTGTGAACACAGCTGCCAAACTCCATTGATTAACAGGCTTTTGTTTATTCTGTGCTGGCAAATACACACACATTTTACCTTAAGAGGTGCCTCTTTAATTTCTGAGGGTTTTGGAGCTGACTCATCAGTGTGAACTTTGGGGAAAAAAGCCTAATTCAAGATATAGTTCTTTCCAAAGACACAATTCCTTATAGGAGAAAGGAAAATTAGAGGGGAGTTCTCAGAAAGGACTGTACCAACAGCTTAAAGGGGCACCACTTGCTTTAAATGCCTCCTTGCAGGAAGGTCTGAACAATAGAGACCTAGGCCCCAGCCGGCTCTTTAAGGTCCTAGTTCTGTGTCTTTGGGAAGATGCTCTGGAATATGAAAAGGAAGCTGAGTATGGAAGGCCCATTTCACAAGAGCTAAGGGCAAGTGCCAGAATCCTTCACCAGGCCAAATTTTTGCAAAATAAAAGTGCTATTGCCTTAAAACGCAAGTATCTGAAATAAGCCTAATCAGGTATAAGTGCTATTGCAGAACAGGTATGAATATTATTAGTAGTTTATTAAAATACTTAGAATTATTTCTTTACCTTCTCCTTTTCATAGATGATTAACTGCTACCCTGCTAAAAAAATTTTTTATGGCTACTATATTGCAACTCTAGACGCCTTCTGTGCAATTTCTCTCAGCAAGCCCCAACTGTAATAACTTGTTTGCTAACTGTAAAATTCTTATCCAGAATGAGGTTTGGGCAAACAATTTGTACTACTGTAATTACATTGTAAAAGTGTTTTAGTCCCTTGATTGTTCAGAATTGATCTTATAAAGACCGAAGAGTAGCATTCGGTTCACAGTTACAAATGGGATGAGGAAGAGGAAAGAAAAAAGTCACTTTTTTAAACTAATAAGAGTTTATTTGAAGTCCACAAACTTGAACTATCTCTAAAAGGAAAATTTGTGCGTGGGTAATTTAAAGTACACTTATAAAGTAATCTGACACATCATGGTTGAAGTGCACAATAGTCTTCCTACTCCTTTGAAGTTTAGGGTTACGGTTGAAAAGGAGTGACTTACCTAAACCTTCTTTTTTCACCTCTGTTAGAAAACAAAAGAAAAAGTTCACTGGAAAGCTGCAATACAAAATCATGTTGTTAAGGAAATATACTGTATATCAAAACTGGCCTTGTCCAAATTTGAAAAGGTGGCCGAAAAGTTGAAGTAACTCCAAACCCGTTACCTAAGTCTTTGCTGGAGAACCCCTAGGCTGTTAAAGGCGCTGGTCATCCAAATGAATTTCGCTGTAAATTTCTCTCAGCTAAATTATATTTACACAATTTCCCACGCAGTTCATTTAAGGATCGTAAACGTAGATGTGCCCCTGTTGATGCTTGGTTTGACCCCTCCCTCCGCTTGTTCCCCCACTACGCCAACCATTTCGAAGCTCCGAGGGCCTGCTGAAGAGACCGCGCTCACCCCCAGACGAGCCGCCGTCGGAAGGAGCTCAGGTGTCCCGGGAGGGTTTGCAGGCTGTCGGCCCAGTCAGAGCAGCTTTCCGAGAATTAAACAGAGAAATCGCCTTCCTGAGGCCGGGAGGTTTCATCTTGGCCTGAAGTTCCGTTTCCAAGTTCAAGTTTTAGGGGGTGGGAGTGGATTGTCAAGCAGGGGTATAAAGGCGCTGGTGATTCACCTGGATCCCCTTGGCTCTGACGCGCAGGCCTGCCTTACTTAACAAGGTGTTTGTACCAGAAAACTCTACACAAGTTTGCGATAGAAAAAAATGAAAAATCCTAAAACTTTGTTGGGGGTGGGGAGGGGAGCGAGAGAGAAAGGAAGAGTGGAGAGAGAGATGCAAAGGGTAAGGGATCCTTAGGCTGAGTTTTTCAAACAGTCGGAGCGCTTTTATTTTTAAGGCAAAATGCGTCTGAGGGCTTTTGGTGAACGCATCAGCCCTTCAGACACACGTCGCGAGTACGGTGTCGGCGGAGACTGGGAAGGCTCAGGTGCTCAGCTGTATGAAAACCCCACTATGGGGGGAAATGGACGTTGACTTGTGTGAATACTTCAAGAAGCAATAAATGTCGCTTATGCTACGTGCGCTTGGTGGAACCTGATTACAGACCTGCTCTGATGCTCGCCCTGTGTTTCCTGCTCCTCAAAAATTCACTCAGCAGAAATGTGTCTTACCTCTTGCACTGATATAAATTCTTTTAGTTTGCGCAGTGAGTTGGCCTCAATACATTTTAGCGCGCCTAACCTTTTCCAAGCAATCTGCGCGGACAGGAGCCCCTTATCTTTCCCAAAATTCTTTCCCCTACTTCCACCTCCTTTTAGCGTGAGGGTTCGGTCCGCAGCTGACAAGGTGGAAATGGGAATGGGGCGATGGAACGAGGGACCGTCTAAGAGTTTGCTCTTGGGGAATCAGCCTTTTGGCCACCATAAGGGCGGGAATCGGGACTGGCAGTTTGCATTCCCGGCAGATCGAAGCTCCCTGCTGATCGATTATTTGATAATTGATTTTCCCCGCAGCCAATGCGCGGCCGCCTTGGCTAGAGCGCCTCCTGATTGGCCGAGCCCTCCTCCACGGCTGCCTACCGAGATTTGGGTGAGCTCATTTTCCAGGAGACCGCAGGGGGAGTTTTCTGAGAGGTTTCAGCTGGAGGGAGGAGAAAAAAAAATCCTGCTCCGAGCTGAGCGAGCTGCGATCCCAGCTCGGGGATGTGAGGTTTCCAGCTCTCTGGTCGAACTGCCGCGGCTGAGCCATCGCAGTAGATCAGAGCCAGGAGGACAGAAAAATAAAAATGAAAATAACACACTAAATATAATAAAGGGCAAGCTTACAGTGGGAGAATAAATAAAAGGCATTTTTTGTTTGACCTAGAGAATAGGTATTTAAAGGAAGAAAGTTAAAATCAGTGGCTGCTTGAAGCCTGAGTTGTGAATAGGGACAGCTTTTTGTCTGAAATCTCAGCTCTCTAAGTGAGTTTCTTCTTCTTTGGCACTGGCAGATTTCCTGAGCCGGGCTGGGGACAGGAAAGCGGAATGGGGAAGAAGGGCTGGGAAAGGGAGCGCAGGGAGTCGCTGGAGAAAGAGCAGGGGGCGCGGGGACCCTCCAGGCCCCAGCACGGCAGACACCGGAGCCCTTCCGCGCTTCGAAGACAAAGGCGGCGCGGCGGTAGCCGGAGCCCAGCACTCCGACCCCGCTGCGCCGCGCCCCGGGCGCACCGCCGCCTCGCCCGGAGCAGGTCGGAGAAAGAGCTTCCCTGCTCGAGCTTCCCCAGCCCCAGCTCCACCCGCAAAGTCTGGGCTGCTCCGAGCCCGCGTCGGGTTTCGCTTTCCGGCGATCATAAATAGCTTCGTGTTTGTAAACAGGCGCTGGGGGGCACATTCCCGGCTCTGAGTTCATTGTTCCCTCTCTTCCTCTCTCACTTCGCGCTGGACGCCTGAGCAGGAGCTGGGGGGCCTCTGGGGCTGAGAGGTGGGGACGTCCAGACCCCGAAGTGAGAAAATGCAAGCATTTCCTTTCCTTGAGCTGGGGTGTCCACCTCTGACAGCAAAAAACTCTAAGCTGGATCTGCAGAAAGCCCCAGCCATCTCCACCCCACGTTCTCGGGACTCCTTAGCAGAACCTTTTCCAGCGTTGTTTCTGCCCCTCCTCCTCGCTCCCGGCTTTTGCTGCTTGGGGTATTCGGTTCTGAGAATCTAGTACTTTCAACATCACCCCGTCCGCCCTGAAATATTCTGGCCGACCCCAACAATTTCGAGGAAAGTCATGAAGTCTATGCGCGGAACCCTGTGCAAAATAACTCCCGCTGCTGTCTGCCCCGCGTTTATTCCCAGTTCATTTCAAGAGTCGGTTTTGGGGAGAGTCTGAAGGGGGGAGGGAGAAAAAAAGAATACAGAAAATAAAGCGGGCGGCCAGGGGCTGCCTCCCGCGTTTGTGCGCGTGTGCCCTGGGTTCGTGGGTGTTTGTGCCTGGCCTTACGATTTAATGGAGCGCCTCTCTGCCTCTTCTGTGCGGCCAGAGCTCGCTTCGCGCACCCACCCCTGCCGAGGAGCCTACTTGCTGCAGCCCAATGCATTGTGTAAGACGCGACCTGTTATGGCCACCACTACTTCCGGGTTCTAGCATTCTGGTCGGAATCCACCTCTCCGCCTGTGCAACACACACTTTACACACGCACGGGGACTGCAAACGGGCAGCATCGATCGTGGCTCCTTTAAGACAAACTCAGACAGACATTTTTTTTTAACCCTCCTCCTCTAATCTCCCTCCAGTGCAGCAGTTGCAAAGAGGGAGAGAGAGAAAGAGAGAGCAAGCGAGAGAAGAGAGAAACTGATTAGGAATTAGGACTGATTCGAGGGAAGCAAGCGCTAGGGCTTTGTGCATTTGAATATTAACATTTGAGGTGTTCTGACCAGAAGAAGACAGAGCGGATGATCATTCATTCACCACGTTGACAACCTCGCCTATGATTGACAGCCGGAGTGGCAGAAAGCCATGAGATTTGGTAGTTGGGTCTGAGGGGCGCTCTTTTTTTTTTTTTCAACTGATTTTTGGGGGAGAGAAGATCTGCTTTTTTTTGCCCCCGCTGCTGTCTTGAAAACGGAGCGCTTTTATGCTCAGTGACTCGGGCGCTTTGCTTCAGGTCCCGTAGACCGAAGATCTGGGACCAGCAGCTCACGTTGCTGGAGACGTTAAGGGATTTTTCGTCGTGCTTTAAAAACATTTTTTTTTTCCGGGGGAGTTTGCCTATTTGTTTCTTTTCACACTGGCCTTAAAGAGGATATATTAGAAGTTGAAGTAGGAAGGGAGCCAGGGAGGCCGATGGCGCAAAGGGTACGTATTAAAAAACAATTGTGGGACTCAAATGTGAGATTAAATTGAAACGTGGCTTAAAGACACTGCTAAAAAGTTTCCTCTTTTCTCTCTTTCTGAATGAGGCTTCTGAAGCCGTGGCCTAAAGCAAGAGGGTTTATTCAGTGCATTTGTATACTTACATATGTTACATGTAATTTTAATTCAACTAACCAAGTTTTCTAGAGATTCCTAACCAGCAGCTATATAAATAAAAATATAAGTTCGGGTGATTATCTGTTTAAAAAACAAAAACAAAAACAAAGAACGCTAGATACCTAATGCTATAATCTGAGCGTTCAGGGATCAGAAGTTTAAAGCTATTTTTAAACTAATATAAGCAGCTAGAAACTTCTGATATGTTATTGATTATGCTTATCTTTAATATCATTAGAAGTATTTAGCTTTTTCAAGCAAATTACTTTGTCATGGTACAGTGACTTTTTGGGGGTAGAAAACATTCATCTTTTAAAAGGAATTTTAATGTGCATGGATTTTTATGCAAGGTAATACTTGGAAAGTTTTTCTTAGAAAAACCCTGCACTAATTGGATACTAAGCACACAGCTACTCTCTTTAAAAATGCAATAACAATTTCCCCAATATTCCTATTTGAATGGAAATGTAGTGAGAGTAAAGTGAGACAATGACAACCCAGCTGAGGTAGTTTCTTAAAAGAAAGGGGGTCTACAAAAAGCCTTCCTTGCATAATTTGTGTCCTGGCCCTCAAAGCCCTGTTTGCAAAAGAAAGTTACTAGGCTGACACATTTTTCTTTACTCCTTTGGTTCAGGCAAATGTCAGCGTTCTTCCAAACTCTTTTCACACCTCTGGCTTTAAGGAGATGAAAGTGACAATTCCTCTTTTCTTTGAAAATCATTTCACTCTGGGCGCCTCGAAATCTTGGGAAAGGAACTTGACTGGAATGAAGCAGTGAGAAAAATCTAGGTTTTTAGATAGCTAAATTTTGCACATGAGAATAATGACAATATGAAAGTAGTCTTTCTGGGGGTTCTTTTGCTGTTGAATTTGCTTTAAATCTGATGAGTAACATTTGCCTCGTTGACTTCTAGACTGGGGAGAAAGTTCCTAAGAGTAGGAAAAACCAGAATAACCAAATGCTCCAACTATAGATTTTCTGTAGTTTGTATGGGGGGAAGGGATACTGCCCAATTTTAGATTTAGTTCTAATGTACAAGAAAAGCTACCATCCTCTGAGTTTCACTCATAAGGGGGCCAGTTAGTTTTGTGTAATTTCACAGAGTTTGTCTTGGAAAGCAGAGGAAATGCAGTGTCTTGCAGGACTGCCTAAGCCCACGCTGGCAGGGAAAGAAAATGAGAAGCCTGTCTGAATTCATGTGCCTGGCTTAGCTGTTCCCATCGTAACTTTTTTTTTTTTAATTCCCCCTGATGGGAAGGGGCTGTGAACCTAGACGGGTCTGCTGCACTGTCTTGGCACTTTTTTATTATTGTGATTTTGAATGTCCTTCTCTAGAGACATGCACGTTTTACCTTCCACCCTCCCAGAGAATGCCTCCCTTTCTTCTCTTCTTCCTTCCTTGCCAAAGGATCCTGAATTTTTGAACTAGTTGATAGGGATACAAGTTAGGGCAAGAGCATTTATCCTTGCCGAATCTCACCGAGAATCCTAGAATTAAAAATTATTTTTTTAATGAGAAATCTCAACTTTTAGAGATGCAAGGCCACTGAATTCCGGGTAGAAGGATCCAGCTGGACAGACATTATATAAGCTCCATGCCCTGCCGTTCCCCTATTTGCCCGCCTGACTTTCTGAACCTTGTTTCTCTCCTGTTTGTCATGCAGTACGACGATCTACCCCATTACGGGGGCATGGATGGAGTAGGCATCCCCTCCACGATGTATGGGGACCCGCATGCGGCCAGGTCCATGCAGCCGGTCCACCACCTGAACCACGGGCCTCCTCTGCACTCGCATCAGTATCCGCACACAGCTCACACAAACGCCATGGCCCCCAGCATGGGTTCCTCCGTCAATGACGCGTTAAAGAGAGATAAAGATGCCATTTATGGGTAGGTACATCGGGCAGCAGGCTAAATAGTTGAGACGCGATGCTTCCCTTATTTCCCTTTGCCTTGGGTAAGAGGAAAGCTGGAGCCCTCTGGATTGGAGGAACATTATTTAGTGGCTTTCCATTCACATTGCACGGAGAACTTGGGGAGGCGGCCTGCCATCCCGGACGCCCCCCATTTCCACAAACGCTCTGAGCTCGCCCAGCATCCCGCTCCATGGAGTCCCTGCTCGCGAAGGGGTCGCCGTGCAAGCGAAGTTGCCAAAGGTCCCCCGTCCTCTCTCAGCCCTTGACGTGGTAGCTCAGCGTGTTGGAGTCCTCGCTCGCTCGACTTCGCTGGGAGAGCTTTGGGGGTTTCTAAATGTAAACGCCTTTGTGTTGGAACGAAACTTTTAGGTTAAGGGAAAATCTTTTAAGCCACTGATTGTTCTGACTTGCTAAGTTTACTCAGCAACCGTATGCTGGCTCTGCCACGGCACAATAAAATCAAGGGAGGACAGTTGCAGGTCAGGCAAGGGGGAACATGCTTTGCATTTAGGGAGTTTGACCACTGTAGTCAAGGAGAGGAGCTCGCTCTTTATTGTTAACAAACATTTAAAAAACTTCTAGCCATTTTAATACTTTGTGTTTAAAGGCGAAAGCTGCAGGGTTTAAAAGTAGATTCCGGGTGCTCTCGGGCTGGTGTTGTTTTCGGGCTGCGGTTTACACTGCGTTCGCCCTGGCCTTGTCTCAGACCCTGGACTAGTAAAATCCTATCCAAGTCACTTGTGCCTACTGTGTGCTGATGAATTTGGGGACATCTTATTACTTTGCAGCAACTTTATTTCTATTTATTTCTTCTTTTGAATAAAAATCACGCAACACTGACCCTTCCCAGCTGAAAACCCTTTTGCTTTATCTACTGATTCCTTGTGCAATGGGCTTGTTTAAATCCCACTGTTCTCTCCGCAGAGTTAACTGCAAATGGTTTGGGCTCCGGGACCGAACATTTGGGGAAACTTTGAAAAAGCTCCCAAACTGTTAAATTCTCAGCTGGCCTGTGAGAACTACTAAAAGACTTGAGACACCTCCTTGGACATTAGAAGAAGCTCTTTTTTTTTATGGGCTGAGATAAGCAACATCTAGGCCCCTCGCAATACTAGCTGCCTTGCCATGCGGCAGAGGCAAAAGGAAAGGCTTTACCGCAGGAATATTTGAAGGAACTTTCTTTGGTGGGTTGTGGGGGCCACTGGCGAAGGGAGGGAAGTGTGCAGGGAGCCAAGGAGGAGCCTCTCTGCTTTCTGAGGGCCGTGGCTTCGGGATCCTTAGGGGAGACCCCCTGACAGTCGGTCCGCAGCCTTAAGGTCCTTTCCCCAAGTTAGCTGAGCGCCTGCCACCGAGCTCCCCGAGCCCTGGGCTTCCCGAGGCTGCCTGGGAGGAACCCACTTGAACGCTCTTTCGCAGCCCCTGTGCTCAGCGCCTTTCTCCTTCACCAGGTCCTGGATGCGCAGCGGAGGGACGAGGGCTTGTCGGGGTGGGAAACTTAATTCAAAATGGCTGCTGGAACCGCTTGGGTTTTATTCTTAGCAAATGTTACCAATTTATCTGGCCATATATGCTGAACTGCCCCTCAGATACTGTCCATGGCTTAGGACCTCCGACTCTGGGGCCATTGGAGAAAGGGGAGGTGAACAGACACCTGGGGTTGGGGGGCGGTTAGTAAATGACAAAATCAGGGAGGGGGTCCCTGCCTCGAGCTCCTCCGGCTGTTTTTCTGGGACGCCTTTTTTCACCGACTCGGGACTAACCATTGTGTTGTTTGTGATTGTTGTATTTTCTTGCAGACACCCCCTCTTCCCTCTCTTAGCACTGATTTTTGAGAAATGTGAATTAGCTACTTGTACCCCCCGTGAGCCAGGGGTGGCGGGCGGGGACGTCTGCTCGTCAGAGTCATTCAATGAAGATATAGCCGTGTTCGCCAAACAGGTCAGCAAAATAAATGTTTAATAAGTTAAGAAAAAAAAAGGGACCTCCCTTCCCCCACCCAACCCATTTTCAAAAGTAACCAGCAAATAGGCCAACCCTAAGCCATGCCTGTTACATCTACCCTGAGATTTTCCTCCTATGTGAGTGTCTGTATGCAGACCACTTAAAAATCGCCCCTATTCTTCCCAACTCCCCCTCCAGAAAGCTCACTCTGTAACATAAAATCACAAACACCACGCGCTGCAGCTAGCTCCCTTGGACTTGGTGAGCTGGGCAGCGTCCTCTAGAAGCGAAGTTGCTGCTAGAAGTAACCCTGCGCTCTGGGCTTGTCTTGAGCTTATTTGATTCATATTGGAGTGCTTCTGCGCGGGACGAACTCGCTGTCACCGAGTCCCTCCCAGAATTTACATTCTGTCCCTGACAGTGTAATGAGGCAAGAAACTAGGAAGGCGACCAGATTTCAAATTTTTCTTTCTTTCCCTCCCTCCCCTTTCCTTCTCACTTGTATTTAGATTCGCGCAGAAAAACCTCTATTTTCTTCTAATCCAGAACTGGATAACTTGGTAAGAGCGGACCGTTTACTCCCCTCCCCCATTCCCCCCGCCCCCAAGCCCCACAGCTTTGCTTTGAGAGCCCAGAGATTTCTAGACTGGTCTTCCCATAGCTGCACATCGGCTGCACAGGTTTCTGGCCACGGACAAGTGGTATGGGACAAGATCTCGGGCAAAAAAATTCATCTCGAGAGGGGCCGGGCGGGCCGGCGTGGGGAAACGCGAGCTTTTGTTTTTTATGACAGCCGGGCAGCGCAGCTCTAATAAGCACGGGGATTTATCTCTGGGCCTGTCGGCGTGTGTGCTTAAACTTTGTGGACTTCCCAGCCCTCAGAGTGGCGTCACGAGAGCAGCGACCGGGCCAGAGCCCCCCAAACCACTAGTTTGCCTGAAAGGTGTACGGAAATTAGAAAGTTTGCAGTGTGAAAAGCCACACTTCGGGGTCTATTGGGGATATTTTCCGTGCACTCCTTCCCAGGAAACATCGAGTCCAGGGATGTGGCTCTTTCGGGGTGGGGTGGAGGCAGTGGGGCTGAAAATAGGGAGAGCCATGGGGGAGGAGAGCGTTTATGTTCCCCACTTAGATGCTTTGTTGTTGTTTAGCTTTTTTTTCTCCTTAAGAAATATAAACCTCTAGATGGTACCCAGTCGCTGCTATTAAGTTTTAGTGTTATTGCCATAAATCAAAATAACTCTATTTACTGGGGGAGAGGGAGGTGGGCTGGAGATGCTACAGCTGTGACAGCCAATTTTCTGGAAACTAGGAATGGGGCGCTCATTCTTTTTGTATCTTTGCAGATGATTCAAGCCATACAAGTATTAAGGTTTCATCTGTTGGAATTAGAGAAGGTAATTTCCCTAGCCTCTTTTCCTTTTGCTTCCCCCTCACCCCCAAACACTCATGGAGGGAGGGTTCAGAATGGCTGAAGTTCAGGCTTCTGAGACATTTGCATAAATGTCTTTCTTTCTGGTAATTAGTGTCAAGGCCAATCTTAAAGTCCATTTCTCTTTGCAGTTTAATTACAATTTCAGCCACTAAAACCAGGATCATGAACGCCCTAGCCTTGTATTCATTCTTAATACCTTGCTGGCTTTGTATAAATAGTTGCAATTGTATGCATCCCCCTGGATATTTGGAATGCTGTTGGAGTTTGCTTCACAGATTATATATACCTTTTTGGTCTCTTCCTCCCTCTCCACTTTGCTACCTCTGTGTTGGGTGAGAGAGAGTTTTGTTTAGTTTTAGTGAGTTTCTGGAAGACAGTCTGAGTACAGCGGCAGGTCAGACACAGGAAAGGCGGAGGGGGAGGAGGAGGAGTGGGCAGGCAATCTGGAGGAGGTGGTGGGGGAGGCAAATGAAACCTTTTGCAGAGACAAAGCAGAGTTGAGAGTTGTGTCAATTTCTTGAATCTGTGAATCCTGCACACACCTCACCTTCACAGTCAAGAAAGGGTGTGGATAACATGATTTTGCTAGTCCCTTCTATAGATCTCAGCAATAAGAACTTAATGCATTGTAATTCAAACTAACATTAAATTGCAAGCACACTGGTGTTTGTGAATTTCTGCATGTCAGTGATGCCTGGGACCTGTAAGAGACCTCTCCACTTACACTTACATATTTTGAGGCATTCTTTTCCCATTAAAAACAATCAACGTGATACATTTTTGTGGCTATAGGTTCTTTTTTGCCATATCATGAGTACTGGCGATTTGATTTCCTTCTACTTTTTTTTTTAAAGGAAGTATCCTAAATATGATTTTAATGGATAGAAACCCTAATTACAAGTATTACAAGAACTTGTGTTGTCAGGCATATATCCTCTGCCACCACAGTACTGGTCTTTCGGAATCTATATATTCACATTTTTTCCTTAGACATGGTGGAAAAGGACTTACGATAAAGTAACTGGATGAAATTAAATAGTTTACCTTAAATGTCACCCACGCAGGTCACCTCTCTAATGGCCACAACCCCAGGAGCAGATGAATTTAACACGGGTGTTGAATATGTTGTAGTCTGTGAATCATCTTGTCACTGTCAATTTTCTGGGATATCTCTATTTTGCAAGAAAAGAAAGTTATTCCTAATTCTGAATGCGTCTGGGGGTCTCTGGAGGACAATTGCCCTGTGTTTCCCTATTTGGAAGTTTGGATCTCACAAGGGGCTGGATTGCACTTGTCAATGTCATTTATGCACTCCTGATTATATTTCCATTTTTTTATTTCTGTCATAATATAGGTACACGAATTATGTGACAATTTCTGCCACCGGTATATTAGCTGTTTGAAAGGGAAAATGCCTATCGATTTGGTGATAGACGATAGAGAAGGAGGATCAAAATCAGACAGTGAAGATATAACAAGATCAGCAAATCTAACCGACCAGGTATGCGCTTTTCAATTTCAACATCCCTGGGAAAAAAAAAATCTGTATGCATATTGCTTGCTGGGTCACTACCACCTCCTTTTATTATTTGCATATGATTAAGTTCCTTTTAGATACATTTCCATCGAAATGAAAATTTTTGAATAATGTGGCTATTATTGCTTCATTAAGGCTGACTCTGGGATTCGACCTGGAGAGATGAGCTTGTAAAAGCTTTGCCTGCAAACTTGACCTGTTTCTTGTCTCTTTTAATTTTTGTCTTTATTTTATTTACCCTCTGTAATAATGGGAGTGTTAACTACCAGTGACCGCCTCTGATTGTAGGGCTTTGTTCTGGAGCATTTTATCCCCTTCTACCTCGAAGAAAAGAAAAGTGTAGGGTCTGCTTATTTCTTATTTTATTGGGAATAAATCCAAGATAGGTGGTCTAAGAGAGACAGTGAGGGTTTGAAATCTAGCAAATGCTGGCTATTTTCTCCCTGTCTCTACGGTTCATTAGCCTGTCTTGTCAGTTTTCCTCGGCCGAGCGCGTCTAGACCTCACTGAACATCGCTTTGTGCAGTGCTGGCTGCAAACTCGCCCATTTTATTGTCCTTAAGAGAAAAAATAAGACCAGGCCGAGGTTATAAAAACAGATAAATATGGACGTTTCTCCTCCTCCTTTCCACTCATCCTCCAGCTGGTATGTGCACTGGGCCCTCTGGGTTGCAGCTTTTAGAAGTGTCAGCGTCAGGGGCACCCAGCGACTCCCTCGGTATGGCGGGTGGGGGACCTCGCGCCGCCTTCGTTATCAGCTGCCGGCCTTTGCTTGCTTCACCCCCTCCTTTGCAGTCCTCCCTCCAGACCCTTCTTCCGCTGTGTTGCTAAGTGGGGACGACTTTTATTTGGAGCTGGTGGGGGGGAATTTCTCTCCCTCTCTCACTCCAGCACCACTGTTTGCTCCTAGTGTCTGTCTGTCTGTCTCTCTCTCTCCTGTCGCTGTGTCTCTGGACTGGTCCAGAGAAGTTGTAAAAATACAATGAAAGTGAAAACGTGAGGAGTGGGCGAGCTGAAACAGGGCTCCGGACAGCTCTCCGAGAATTGTTGCAGCGCATCCAGAACTTGGCGCTGCAGACCTCCTCTGGCCTTTCCATACATAAGTGAAGGCCCAGAGTTGTTTCTCTTTCTGACTTGGCACGTGAGCCCGGTCTTGGGGAAGAGATCAGCTTGCCTTTGTTAAGCCAAAGGACAGCCAGTCGTGCAATTTTCCTTTGCAAGCTCTGCCATGATCACTATTGGTCAGCGGCTGTCTTGCAGAGCCCTGATGGGAGTGCGCGACTCCTCAGTCTTGGTGTCATCTTAAAGTTTTCTCTCACCCCCCTTAAAATAAATTCCTAGCTTGAATTTCTCTAGATGACTCCGCGACAGGGGCTGAATTCCTCCTTTCTCCATGAGGAGTGGAGGGCAGGCAGCGCTGCGCTTTAAAAATGCCAACGCGCCGGCTCTTTACTGTTATTTGGCTATTTGCAAACTTTCGGCAGTGTAGACCAGTGCGCAGGACAGGCAGCCTGCGCAATCCCCAGAGCGACCCTGCCGAGGTGGGAAAGCTGCAGGCGGCTCCCGGCTCAGGTCCAGCCCCGGTCACGCCCCGTGGGCTACCGGGCCTCCAGTCTAATTCAGCCAGCCAGCCCTCGCCCAGAGCTGTTAAATGCAGATTCCGCCAAGGAACCCTCCGGTAGCTGCTGTTGAATAAAAACTGTAATCCAACAAGCCTAACTAGAAAATGGGATTCTGAAAACTCCGGAGTGCTGGGTACATAAAGCTATTTGAGCAAATTGCAAGAATCGCTTAGGGGCATGAATGAAATCAACACTTTAATTGCCTCCAAAATGAAGATTTATACCCCATTTTCTCAACCAATCATTATTTTATTAAAGTCAAAGATAAGGGACCAAAGTTATAGGGTTTTTTTTGGGGGGGGGACAAATTGATATAACATCCCATCCATCCTTGGGTTCTCCCTCTACTCCTTCGGTAAACTTGTTTCTCAGTTACCTTAGTTTGAGATATGCAGATTGGTAGGCAATTGTATGGGGCAAAATTTGCGTTTTTATTCTCCTGCACTACAAAACGGGAAGCGGGCAGCCGGTCCCGGCGGCCTAGGAGTGGACTTCGAAGCTTTGACTGAGCTCGTGGTGCTCTTGGCTCAGGCGCGTGGGAGAGCTCGCGTGACCCCTCGGGTTCACCTGGGTCTCAGTTGGTCCGAGGGCAGGAAACCCAAGTTTGTTCCTATTGTCCGCTTCCCGGGAGGCAGGAGAAAGTGTGCCTGGGCTCCCTTTGGAGCGGGGAGTGCAGAGCGCGGGGCGCACCCGGGAACGTGCCACGGTCGCAGAGTGGAGTCCCTGTCCTGGGAGGTGAGGAGCATGGGACGAGTCACAGGGCCGCCCCGTGGGCGCCAGTCCTCCCCGACTGGAGCCCGCTCGCCAATCCCCGGGGGCGCTGTACCCCTAGTGCGGCGCCTTGGGGGCCCTGCCCAGCAATGACAGCCTCGCCACCTGTCTGCGAATGCGGCCCAGCCAGTTTGAGCGCAGGCCGACCGCGCGCTCTGGGACTGGATGCTTCAGGTGTAGTGCGAGCGCTGGGCCTCGTTAGCTCATTAACCCCTCTGTCCCTAGGGCCGCTGGCGGCACGGTTTTTTATTTTACTTTTTTCCTCTGAGGGCGCAAAGGCTGCCACTCGCGCAGGGATCGGGGATCGACGACTTTGATTATCAGCCGTTTCCCGGAGGGCTAAGTAGGCGGAAATTCACTTGGCCTTGTAGTTTTGTTGGCTTGGTTTTTTAATTTTTTGCATATTTAAAAATCAGATTAACAAGCCAGTAGAAACCGTAACCCCCTTTCGCTCTCCTTCCACCCGTAGTGCTCCCCTCCACTCCCGCTCCTAGACCCCGAGGTCCCAGGTCTCAGAGTCACCTCCAGCTGGCGCAGGCCTCCCGGGCGCCCTCTCCCGACCGCGACGCTCCGAGCTCGGCAAGAACGCTTCCCAAGCCCGGGCACTGGGGTCAGCGAGGTGCACCTGGGGTTTCGGGCCTCGTCTTGGGGCGAGGGCCCTGCTGCGACCCGGGAGAGGGCGCCGAGGGGGAGCACGGCTAGAGGAGTTGAGGTGAGAGTTGAGTCTGGCTGTCAGTGGAGAAGGACGTGGGTCCGAAGAGAGGCGGGGCGCCTGTATTTAGGGGGCCAGCGTGGAACTGGCGAAGCCCAGAGGGGTTAGACCGGGAAGAGCCCGGCCTCCCATACGCTAGACTTCAGGCAGTGCTCAGACAGGAGCCGTTGAAGGAAGCCTTCCTTCCCAGGGCTGCCCTGTTGCTCGCCACTCCTTGAACCTAAGCATTTTCCAGCCCAAGAACGGGAGCAGAGAAGAGTCTCTGGGCCACTAAGGCCGCCTCCGGAGGTGGCCTCCCCTGCTCGTAGCTAGCGGGGACTAGCTGAGCCTGTGCTCAGGCGCCAGCCCTCGGTCTCCCGCAAGCAGCGGGAGGTAAAGAAATGGTCCCTTTGGATTACAATTTTTATTCAGCAGCAGCTCTCTGGGGGGTCTTCCTCAGAATCTGCATTTAACGGCTCCTGGGCAAGGCTAGCAGGCTGCACGGGGCGCCCTGTTGCATGTTAATACAGATTTGTCTCTACCGTCTGGGGAGAAGTAATGTGTCTCGCAGAGATGGAACCAGAAAGCTGTGCATACTAGGCAAGTTAAATGCCAAGTGCTGGTGAGCTCCCGGGGGATGGGGTCGGCTGCCGGGGCTGTTCGGGGCCCATGCTGCATGGAGACTTCGAGGCCTCCGAGCCTCGGGAGGGGTTTCGGGCCTCGTCTTGGGGCGAGGGCCCTGCTGCGACCCGGGAGAGGGCGCCGAGGGGGAGCACGGCTAGAGGAGTTGAGGTGAGAGTTGAGTCTGGCTGTCAGTGGAGAAGGACGTGGGTCCGAAGAGAGGCGGGGCGCCTGTATTTAGGGGGCCAGCGTGGAACTGGCGAAGCCCAGAGGGGTTAGACCGGGAAGAGCCCGGCCTCCCATACGCTAGACTTCAGGCAGTGCTCAGACAGGAGCCGTTGAAGGAAGCCTTCCTTCCCAGGGCTGCCCTGTTGCTCGCCACTCCTTGAACCTAAGCATTTTCCAGCCCAAGAACGGGAGCAGAGAAGAGTCTCTGGGCCACTAAGGCCGCCTCCGGAGGTGGCCTCCCCTGCTCGTAGCTAGCGGGGACTAGCTGAGCCTGTGCTCAGGCGCCAGCCCTCGGTCTCCCGCAAGCAGCGGGAGGTAAAGAAATGGTCCCTTTGGATTACAATTTTTATTCAGCAGCAGCTCTCTGGGGGGTCTTCCTCAGAATCTGCATTTAACGGCTCCTGGGCAAGGCTAGCAGGCTGCACGGGGCGCCCTGTTGCATGTTAATACAGATTTGTCTCTACCGTCTGGGGAGAAGTAATGTGTCTCGCAGAGATGGAACCAGAAAGCTGTGCATACTAGGCAAGTTAAATGCCAAGTGCTGGTGAGCTCCCGGGGGATGGGGTCGGCTGCCGGGGCTGTTCGGGGCCCATGCTGCATGGAGACTTCGAGGCCTCCGAGCCTCGGGGATCCGGGGCAGCCCTGATCTTTGGTTCCCAAGTGGGCCAGGGAATCCTGGTGGAGATGTTTTTGTTTTAAAAGTCCAGAATGTTGTTTCTAAAGCATAGTTTAAGTTAAAATTCTTAAAACTGAACTTGGACTTGACTGAAAACATGCTACCCCTGCAAAGTAGGGTGGAGATGCATCCTGGGGAGACTAAGCTTTCTCTTTGGGGGAGGTGTTAGGGTAAGGAATGGTGAGGGGAGAATGCGGAACAGCCTAATGTCCTTGATAAATGGTATCTGCTGCTTCAGGGGAAAAAAGATGAGGCCTTTGGATATTTACTAATAGTAGAAATGCAGGCAAATTAATTTTCATCCAGTAAGAAAACTGGACACCAACAGCCAGACACAGCAAAAGGTCCCTTTGTC